TATTAAATACAGTGCCTATTATTAAACTGCTGCCAAAAGCAAAATGTGCTCAGCAATGCAAACCAACTATGAACTTGATTAAATGCAGCCAACACTGAGCATGACTAGAAAACACATGGCCCATAATAGGCATACATGCTGATAAGAACCCGCCTTTTTATTTTAATAAAATTTCATTTCCAGGGCTAAATTAGGTCCAAATTAAGTTCCAAATTTCCACTAAGCAGAGCTCAATCATCTAAGTCTGCATGGTACTACCACCAGGCATGCATCCTACCTCCTAGACTCTTCAGCCTGGGGCTTCAGATACTCCCAAATCCAAGACAGACATCCTATGTCCAAGCCCCAAGCCCGGAAGCCTTGTAGTTAAGATGCCCCCTGGTCTTACTTGCCCCTAGGCAAAAGGCCAAAGGAGCAAGCTAGAGGGAAAGTCTGAGAGCAACCCCCCCCATCACCATAAATTATGTAGCCAAGATCCTTGTATTTGGAGGCATTTGTAAAATCCAGCAGTGCAATGGATAGGTCTCCACCTTCTAACTACACCAAATCGTTCAAGGCCAAGAAGAATGGCATCGCCCCTGCCAAGTGAGTAAAACCACCTGGGATGAAATCACCTCAGGATGCCTCTTAGGCTTGCTCCTAGCAAAAAGGCCAAGACCAGAGCCCATCATAAAGATAAGTTAGTGCAGCCCATCTGAATAAGATATATGGTAATGCCTATTAAGATGGGCTGCACTAACCTTATGCTGACTCTTTTTCAAGTCATGGTGAGTCATGTTTTTTCAAGACATGGTCAAGTTATGCGGTAAGCCACACTAAGATGTGGGGTGAAGTGGGTATGCTAGTAGGAAGGAATAGGCTGTAAGCAGATCTAGACAGGTTACAGGGGTGAGCTGATGAAAAAAGGATGGGGTTCAACACTGACAAGTGCAGGGTAACGCACCTGGGGAGGAAGAACCAGCGGCACACCTACAGGCTGGGGAACTCCCTTCTCACCAGTGTCGAGACAGAAAAGGATCTTGGAGTCATCATTGATGCCACAATGAACATAGGCCGACAAAGTAGGGACACGGTCAGGAAGGCGAACCATACCTTGTCGTGCATCCACAGATGCATCTCAAGCAGGTCCAAGGAGGTGATCCTCCCCCTCTATGCGGCACTGATCAGGCCACAGTTGGAGTACTGCATCCAGTTCTGGGTGCCACACTTCAGGAGGGATGTGGCCAATGTGTAAAGGGTCCAGAGGAGGGCCACCCGCATGATCAGGGGTCAGCAGGGCAGGCCCTACGAGGAAAGGCTGAGGGACCTGAACCTGTTCAGCCTCCAAAAGAGAAGGCTTAGGGGGGATCTAGTGGCAGTCTACGAACTAGTCAAGGGGGACCAGCAGGCATTGGGAGAGTCCTTGTTCCCCCGAGCACTCCCGGGAGTTACAAGAAACAATGGACACAAGCTAGCGGAGGGTAGTTTCAGGCTAGACATTAGGAGGCGCTATTTTACTGTCAGGGCGGCTAGGACCTGGAACCAACTTCCAAAAGAAGTGGTGCTGGCTCCTACCCTGGGGGTCTTTAAAAAAAAGGCTGGATGAACAGCTGGCCGGGGGCGTCTGACCCCAGCCTTCTCAGGGGGTCGGACTAGATGATCTCCTCAGGTCCCTTCCGACCCTACCAACTATGAAACTATGAAATTTCTTTCCCTTTTTCAATGATTCCTGTTTTGTTTTTTATACCACTCTTAAATGTCCAGCAAACATCACCAAATGAGGCCTCAGATAATTCCCCCAGATTCTCTTCCATCACCCACTCTCTCTGCTTGGTGCATGACTAGTTTGGCCCTGCCCTCCATGAGGTGGAGCTGGACCAAGCTGTCCTGTGCCTCATCTGAATATAAATCTTTGGAATATTCCCAGGACTAGTGACAAGAACACTCGGTTACATCCAGCACATGGATCCTTTGTTGGCGGGATCTAGAGTACACACATACACTGAACAGTGCTGAGCTGTGGAGTCACCCTGGCTTGAAATGCTGTTGAGTGCTGGGGCCCAGCTCAATGTCCTACATGGTAAATCATGAGCCTTTGGCTTTGGAGTAATTACACACATACTTTGTAAATAGGTGCCAAAGTGCTGCTCAAAAGTGCTATGGAGTAACTGCACTAAAATTTGCAGCAGTTTCAAAAAATGGTAACATGCATCAATTCTGGATGAGCTAAATGTATGGGTACTATATGCAAATTGCTGCAGCCATGTTCAATTTCAAGGTTGTTTTCAAATTTGTTCCTCACTTCTACGTGTTCAGGGAAAGCAGGGTCTGACAGTAAGGAGAGAGGAGAGGGGCTGCCAGGGGAAAAAGTTGAGGGGAAGCAGAGAACAAAGGGGATCTGACATGTTCCCTCCTGTGGCAATAGAAGGGGGACAAATTCAAGGCAAACCTCCAATAATTAGATTCTATACCTGGAAAATAAGCAATTTATAAATGTTCCATATATAAAAACAAATTATTGGAGGGGTCATCTTCAAATCATGGTCATCTTCTATTTGAGTAAATACGGCATGTTGTGAGTGTAGGAAGATGCGTGTTAATGAAACACAATTAAATGCCTTACATCAAACATCAGCTCTGTGAGTAACCAATAAAATTAATGAAACAACTGCATACTAGTAATGGCTTTCAATTAAGGACTTCAATCATTCTTCTGACAGGAAAAACAAGTTATTAAGTAAGTAACATCTCACAATGATATAAAAAGAGAGTTCAAAATGAAACTCAGTTTCTCCTAATGCCTAGTCCTACTTTACTAGACTACGCTCTCCTTCACAGGAAAAAATGAAACTGAAGAGGTATACTCATCCACCAGTGTTCAAGTATATGTTTGAGAAGAGATTTCAGTTTGATTCTCACTATCTAAACAGCATGTGTCATACAAACATTCTGAGTTTTGACTCTAAAAATAGATTTAAACATAGACTGCTGTCACAATGATGTAGGGGATGTTTATATGATCTCATCCTATTTTTCTAAATGGCACTGTCAAAAAGTCAAAGCACTCTACCAACATAAAAGCGAAACATCAACCCAACACTTCTGTTATCTTTCCACAGCAGTTACAAACAACATCCAGAAGCCCAGGTTGCTAAAAGAATGAAGCAAGATGTGAAAATTATCCCATACTTAAACATGTGCACGAATGGTGGTCAGGACAGAGAAGGGGAGTGCAAAATATTCACTAACTTGTTCTGACAAACTAAGTCATGATTGTCTATCAAACTGTCATGATTGTCTAATCATACTGCTGACTGATCCTTATACAAATCTAGGCCACTATTAAGTCCTCTTCACTTGGGGAAAATGACTTTCATAGTTTCATAGTGCTAGGGTCAGGAGGGACCTGAACAGATCATCTAGCCTGACCCCCTGCCACAGGCAGGAAAGCTGGGTTCACAAGACCCCCATGCTGGGTTCACAAGACCCCAGACAGGTGATCGTCCAACCTCCTCTTGAATTTGCCCAAGGCAGGGGTGAGGACCACTTCCCTGGGAAGTTGGTTCCAGATTTTGGCCATCCTAACTGTAAAATATTGCCTTCTGACCTCCAACCTAAACCTATTCTCCATCAGCTTATGACCATTGTTCCTCCAGGTGGTGCTGGGGAGAAAAGAGCTCTGCCTATTTGCAGTTGAGCTGGGGAGAAAAGAGCTCTGCCTATTTGCTGTTGAAGGAAGGGAAATTATTTCTAGGAAAGGAAATTATTTTGTAAATCTTATATTCTACAAAAGTAGAATCATATATTCTACTTTCTAGGAAGGGAAATTATTTTGTAAATCTTATATTCTACAAAATCTTCTCTCAGCCTTTAGCCTCTGTGGGGCAGGAACTGGGTCTTCAAACTTGTGCCTGTAAAGCACATACCACCACACAAATGCTTTGAAATAAAATGTGAAAAACACTATGGACTCATGGATTATTTAGAGATTATGCTCTCTCCCCCTCTCCCATAAATGTAGATAGATACATGAGAGAGAGAGAGATGTATAGACAGACAGATATCTTCTGGGGATTGCTAATGATCATTTTCCTGGCTGAATGTAAAAGAAAAACTTGACTGCAGGGCCTCAAGCCAATAAGGAGATCCAAACAGGATGCCCTTAAAAAAAGCCAGGAAAGGCACAGAGGCTGAGCTGACTCAGGAATGTGATGTTAACAAACTGCTCTCTTCTGCTGTGGCTTTCCATTGCCAGGAAAAGTTAACTAACGAAATACACTGCATATGCAAAACAACTGAACTTTCCAAAATATGCAGCATTATGAGCAACAAAACAAAATAATACTAGTTTTCTATTATGTTCAGCCACAGTTGGTGGTATAGCAAAGCTAAACAGAGCCATTCTCTGTATAGCTCTGAATCTCTGTATCCAAATCTGAATCCTGCT